CAAGTACCACCCAGACAGTTCACATGAGTGAGCCCCTAAGTTACCATTAAGACATCAGTCAGTCATTGTAAATATACCTTTTGTTCATTATATAATAAATCACTGACATATATTTTGTTACAATTTAAATGACATGACCTATTTTCACACATGACTATTTTTAGTCACTATATCCTAAACAGTTATTAGGATAAGAGAAAAATAACATCATAGCTGCCAGAGGTAGCATGATATAAAAGGAACAAAGCTTAAGAGATAGACAGATCTGATTCCCATCTCAGTTTCACCATGGACCGCTTGGGTTATCATGATAAAATTACACTTTCTAAAGTTTTATTTCCTTCCTTTTCAAAAATATGGACCACACAAACATACACACAACTATATAAACCACCCTTCATAATGTCTGATACAAAAAAAAATATTTGCAGGTAACATTTAGACGGTAGTCCTATATGATAAAAGGCTAATATGCAAATCAACTGAATAGTGGAACAACCAGTAGCTATAATGCGCACTGACCACCAGGTGGCAGATGCTCAACGCAGGAACTGCCCCCTGGTGGTCAGTGCGCCAGAAGCCAGGCTCACAGCTGGCGAGTGTAACGGTGGCAGCGTTAAGGATGTCCGACTGACGGGTTAGGCCCGCTCCCCATGGGACTCCTGGACTGCGAGAGGGCACAGACCGGGCTGAGGGACCCCCCCGCCGAGTGCACGAATTTTATGCACTGGGCCTCCAGTATAGTATAATAGCTTAGGAGTGTGACTACTTGTATAAAATCCCAACTCTGCCACTTACTTAGCTGCATAACAATGGACCAATTATTTAATCTCTCTAAGCCTCGATTTTATTTTAAATAGAAAGTAGAACTATTAATGGGTTTTATAAGATATAAAGCACTTAATGGAGTAGTTGGTCAACAATAAACACAAAAAAAGCCTAACCAATGGACACAGACAACAGGAGGTGAGGGTGAGGGCAGGATTGGGGGGGGGGGGGGCAATGGGGGGGACACATATGTAATACCTTAACCAATAAAGAAAAAAGTATTAAAAAAATAAACACAAAAAATGTTTGCTATTTTTATATTACCTTAATTAAGCATTTAAAATAATGTACTGGCTATCCTCTCATATACTATAAATTGGCAAAAAGTAATTTCCATCATTCTCAAGAGGCCAATATGCAATTAATCATGTTCATTCAATTTCTTTTTGCACATTTTATATGATAACTGATTAAACCACATTTTAAGCAGAACTTAATATAAATGTAACATAATATGGAGAAGTATTACTTTAAAAATATATATCATCTAGAACAGTGATGGCGAACCTATGACACACATGTCAGAGGTGACACGCGAACTCATTTTTTTGGTTGATTTTTCTTTGTTAAATGGCATTTAAATATATAAAATAAATAACAAAAACATAAGTCTTTGTTTTACTATGGTTGCAAATATCAAAAAATTTCTATATGTGACACGGCACCAGAGTTAAGTTAGGGTTTTTCAAAATGCTGACACGCCGAGCTCAAAAGGTTCGCCATCACTGATCTAGAAGATACTGAAAAATGACTTACTGTTAGAAGCATAAAAATATTTTAACTCTACTTGTATCAATGCAAAAATATGAACCCTGTAAAATATAGAAAACGAGCAAATATTAAAAGGCAACTAGATATTTATTTTTAATGGAGATGGTTAGAAGAAAAAGGAATTCCAGCAACACAAAATGGAAAACTTAAAATCTGTACAGGACATAGGAAAAAGTAGAAATTGAAATGAAAAATGAAGCAGTGATGTGGAGGACACTTGAGAGCTCTTAGAATGCAGTTTTTATAAAAGAAAGAAATGGAGAGAGATGAAAACAAAGGGCATTTTCCAAAAACTATAGCTAATATCCTACTTAATGAGAAACTGAATGCTTTCTCTCTAAAACTAGGAACAAAGCAGGTTGTTTCAGACATACCACTCGTATTCAACATCATATTAAAAGTCCTAGTCAGTGCAATAAGGCAAAAAACAAAATATAAAAGCTAAAAAGACTAGAAAGGAAGAAATAAAACTGTCTCTATTCGTGGACAACATGACTGTCTACAAAGAAAATCACAAGGAATCCACACCAAAAAAATGCCATAACTAATTAGTGAGTTTACACGGTCATAGAATACAAGATCAATATACTGTACAAAAATCAATTGTGTTTCTATGTACTAGCAACGAACAATTAGAAACCAAAATTTTAAAAATAGTACTATTTTCATCAACTCAAAATAAAACTAAATACTTAGGTACAAATCTAACAAAATATGTGCAGGATCTGTATGCTAAAGAATGCAAACACTGACATGAGAAATAAAAAAGGACCTGAAAAAAACAACCATGGTACATCTACACAATGGAATACTACACTGCTGTAAAAAAGAAAGAACTCTTACCATTCGAAACAGCATGGATGGACCTAGAGAGCATTATGCTAAGTGAAATAAGCCAGTCAGAGAAAGATAAATATCACATGATCTCACTCATTTGTGAAATATAATGAACAACATAAACTGATGAACAAAAAGATCCAGACACAGAGAAGCATCAAACTTCAGAGGGAAGGCAGGGGAGTGGGGTGGGGAGGGGTAAGAGATCAAGCAAAGGACTTATATGCATGCATATAAGCATAACCAATGGACACAGACAGTAGGGAGGTGAGGGAATGTGCTGGGGAGTGGGAGTGGCTGGAGAGAGGGCAATGGGGAAAAAAGGAAACATATATAATACTTTAACCAGTGGTCGCCAACCTTTCGGACCTCACAGACCACCAGTGGTCCGCAGACCACAAGTTGGTGACCACTACTTTAAACAATAAAGAATTTAAATTTTTAAAAAAGGACCTAAAAAAATGAAGAGATATACTCAATACTGTTAAGAAGACCTTTCTCTACAAAGTGATCTATAAATTAAATGTAATCTCTATTAAAATCCCAGCAGGATTTTTTTATCCTATATAATAAAAGGGTAATATGCAAATTGTCCCCTCGACCAGGAGTTCGACCGCAGCCCTTCCCCCCAGCTAGCCCCACCTCCGATCAGCCCCCCCAACCCCGATTAGGGCGGGACCCACCCATGCATGAATTTGTGCACTAGGCCTCTAGTAGATATATAGAAGCTGGCTTTCAAATTTATATGAAAGTGCAAAGAAACTAGAAAAAAAACAAAACAATTATGAAAAAGAACAAAGCAGACTCACAATACCTGATCTTAAGACTTACTACAAAGCTTACAAAGCTACAGTAATTAAGGTAGTGTGATATTGGCATAAACACAGACAAATAATCAATGGAACCAAAAAGAGAGTCCAGAAAAAGACCCACACAAATATGTCAAATGATTCTGACAAAGGGACAAAGACAAGTCAGTGACAAAATGATGTTATTAATAAATTATGTGGGGGGAAACGAACATCCATAAGCAGAAAAAAAAAAGAACTTTGACCTTCACCTTATGCCTTACACAAAATTACTTCAAAATGGATCTCAGACTTAAATATAAAACATAAACCTATAAAACAATTAGAAAAAATCAAAAGAGAAAATCTTTGTGACACTACATTAAGCTACAAATTATTAGATACAAAACCAAAAGCAAGATCAATAAAAGAAAAAAATTGATAAATGGAACTTTATCAGAAATTAAAAGCTTTTGCTCTGCAAAAGATACTTAAGAAAACGAAAAGCTATGTACTAGAAAAAAAAATCTGTAAATCACATATCTGACAAAAAACTTACACCTAGATTATATAAAGAACTCGCAAAACTCAACAGAAAGAAAACAAATACCCTCCACACATTGTAACAACAAAAAAAAAAAAGAAAGAAAGAAAAACCATACATTTCTATATGCTGGGATTCATGCCTGTAATCATCCTTTCTATTACTATAACGAAACTTCTTTATCTGTCATAATGTGGAAATATAGTTAAACAAAAGATTTGAATAGACACTTCACCAAAAAATAATATCAATGGCAAGTAAGCACATAAAAAGATCATCAACATAATTTGTTATTAGGAAAATGCAAATTAAAAACACAAGATACCATGATAAACCTAATACAATGGTTTTAATGAAAACAACTGACAATACCAAGTGCTGACAAGAATTTGGATCTACTAGAACTCTCATATAATGCTGCTGAAACGCAAAATAATACCAACCTGTCACAAATACTTCCAGAAAAGAGAAAGGGAGGGGACCACTTTCCAACTCATTTTACAAACCCAGTATTACCCTGATACCACCAAAGACATCACAATAAAAGTACAGACTAATATTCCTCATGAACACAGATGGAAAAACGTTTAACAAATTGTTACAAAATCAAATACAGCAACACATAAAAAGGGTTATACATCATGACCAAGTGATATTAACCCAGGAATACAAAGTTGGCTAAAAATCTGAAAATCAATTATGCTAACACAGAAAAACAAAGGCAAAATGATCTGTACAATCATTTTAACCTCCATTAAGAGTGACTAAAGGTAACTAAAGAGATTTGTGACCTTTTTGTTACTTTATATTTTTCCTAAAGTGTTCATTTTGTTCACTGTTTGTAACTCAACAAATATTGGCTACGCTACCTTCCGCATGCACAACATTCTGCTAGGCACTAATATAGAAAAACAAGTATGTGAATCGGTAAAATTACAGTGAGTCTTAGATGCAGGTACACAATTAAAAGAGAACCAACTCTGTCCATGGCCCCAAAGGGGAAAAAAACTTTCATTCCTATCCTTAAGTTATAGAGGCATATTTTAAACTGTAAATTGAAATTAAATCACATTGTGGTAGCAAATATGTATGGCAATAACTTTACAGGAAATATTGTCTATATACTCTTCTGCCCAACTGTACCTCTCTACAAAATATTAAAAAGCTCTTCGAGTATAAAAATCTATGCCATACATTACTGAAAAATACCTTTGGTGTAACATAACCTATACCTTGTGGGGAGCGAGAATCCTCTGCCTGAATTTTTCGACTGTTTCTTGACCCATGGAAGACCAAGTATTGACAAATGCTTCTGCTTTGTCTTGTGCAAGATGAATGTTCTCTAACTGCTGCTGTAAAGCTGCAGGCTTCACATTGTGATATACTGCCTATTAAAGAGAAAATAAATTACATATATCTCTAATATTCATACAGAGACTTTGATCTATAATCAAATACAAAATTAATAATTTAAACCAAAAGAATATTTTATATTTCTATTGCAGAAAGTTTTTGTTATTTTACAAACAATATACCATTCCAAGGGCTGAAAGATTTAGGATTAAATGCTTATTCAGGCTAAACTTTTTCAGTTTTGCCTGAGGTTTAAGTACTCCATTTAATGGAAAAACTTCTTTGCCTTAACTAATGGTGCCCTTATTATTCATTTCCTGGGTTCTCCCACTACCCCATCATGGTCCAAGCAGGTTGGGCCAGGCAATGGCTAGGCAGTTCAGGTTCTCAAAGGCTCTCGGCCCCCCACCCCACTGCCATCATGCCCAAGAGGAAGGTCAGCTCCACTGAGGGCGAAGCAAAGGAGGAACCCAAGAGGAGACCAGTGAGGTTGTCAGCTAAACTTGCTCTGTAAAATAAAAATGGCAGCAGGAAAGGATAAATATGCAGACAAAAAAAGTGCAAATGAAAGGGAAAAGGGAAGCAAAGGGAAAACAGAAAAAAACGGCTAACCAGGAACCTAAATAAGAACTACCAGTGGAAAATGGAGAAAAAATGAGGACAGCCCTAGTCAGTTTGGCTCAGTGGATAGAACTCTCATATAATGCTGTGAAGGGTCCCAAGTTCGATTCTGGTCAAGGGCACATACCTTGGTTGTAGGCTCCATTCCTGGCTCTGGTTGGGGCAAGTGCAGGCAGGAGGCAACCAACTGATGTGTCTCTCTCACAGTGAGGTTTCCCTCTCTCTGTCTCTCCCCCTCCATTCCACTCTCTCTAAAAATCAATGGAAAAATATCCTCGGATAAGGATTAACAACAATAAAAAAAAGTAAAAATGAGGACAGGCCAGACTCAGATGAAGCAGGAGAAAAAGAAGCCAAGTCTAATTAATATCATATACCATGTCTTATCAGTGGTATCGGTCTCCCTTTTTGTACAATCCAGAGAATAATTTTACCAACTATTTTGTAAATGCCCATTTTTTAGTAGCTTTAGAAACATTTTTAAGAATGAAGGAATTCGACCTCATCCCATTTTTTAAAATGTAAATGATTTTTTAAGAGGTGAAATCATTTGTTGGTTGTTTCTTTTTTGATACAACCAAAACATAGTGGTATATTAAATATTGGGAGGCTTTGATTATCTTGGGTGTCAACTTAACATTCCATAGATGAGGGTAGTTTTTCTATTCTATGATACAAAGCATATTAAAGTGGCAATTTGAAGTCAGTCATACATTTACCATGTCCTGAACATTTTAAATTACTTTTATTCTCATTTTCATTTCTGGTAAAATTGTTTCCTAAAGAAAACCACTTCTTGATCTTGGCTCTCCCTGTCAGAATTTTGTGCGCTCTGTAACATCTTTGGTGTGGTAGTCCAGTTTTCCTAGTAAGTTTGTTAATGTGCCGTGAAAGATTGAAAATTTGATTCTGTAGTATATATGACATTGAACAGTAAATGAGTGGGACTTTGATGTTTCAACATTTGAAGATATTGGTTCTTGATAGTCTATTAAGGAAAATTAGCCTTCAAATTTTAAGCTGGGAAGTCACTGGAATAACTGTTTAGAAAAGAAGCACAATTACATGACTTTAGGTTTTTGGTATATATGTTAAGAATTACATACAAACTGAAATGTCTGTGTACTTATCCTCAAAACAACCAATTAAATCTCAATTATGAAAGGAAAAAAATTCATTTCCTTATTTCACTTAATTATTTCAGAGTAGTACAATGGTATTGCTTCCCAACTAACAAAAATTTCTAAGAAGCACTTTCTTAAAACTGCCCTCCCTCTCCCAACTTCCTAGATAATATATAATAAAATATTGTAAAAATTTTAACAGTGATATCTGTCCTATTACCTACATTATTCTGGAACAACTTTCTCATAAGCCCCTTGATGCTCTGTCTTACTTGATTATCCTTTTCATCTACTGAAGGCCCACTAAGGATAGTCATCATTATGATCTGTAATTTGTATAAAGCTGTATGTGTAGATGCCTGTAGCTTGTCCTTTTAAGAGTATCTGTCACTAGAATGTTCATGAAGCAACAGTACTATTTAAAATTTAATTCCACAAGTATTCTATTTAATCAACCAACAGGAATTTATAGAGAATCTATGTTAAGCCCTGGAATGTGCTAGGTTTATATAAGATGCACGTGCGCGAGCGCGCGCGCACGAGATCTTGGCCTCCCACAAATTTAATACCTAGTGAAGAAGATATCACTGACACCCATGAAATAATGAACAACTAACAGAGTGGTCTACTATGATAAGCTAAAGATAAAAGGAACCCAAATGGGAGGAAGAGTGCAAGTATAAGGGGTCAAGGCGACAATGAAAGGAGACGTGAGAAGAGATGCAGGCAGAAGGGCAGCTCAGTAGGAAGAAATAATATGACTAAAACTCCTTTGACAAATATTTCTTTTCTAAATGTTTTATTTGCCATCTTAGTCAAATAAATCCCCCAAAAATCATTTGTTAAAATTTTTAAATAAAGTGTGTTCATTTTTCCAAATTATTATAACAAGTAACAATGAATTAAAATCTTTCATAACTGTCTCAAGTCAATAAAGTCTTGATTCATACTGTCAAACACTTACACTACTCAACATTAAGACTGTTTTATAAAATGCAATACCCTGTGGGGGGAAAATCATACATTCAAATGTGTTTTTTTTTACTACATTGAAATTCTTAATTAAAATATATTCACAGCTTCCATTTGCACACTTAAGAAAAAAAATGTTACCCCTATCATAGCAATACAAACATGTACCAGACACCAATGGTTGAGAACAATAAAAATACCTGTTCTAAAATGAATGATATTGTTTCAAGAACTAGGTGAAGATCTTGTTTCTCAAGAGAAAATGCAGCTTGAAGTTTTTCTTCCTCTTCTTCACTGAAACTGTTCTCAGCCTACAACACAAAAAGCAATCTACTAGCACACATTCAGGAATTCAAAACTCAGATCCTCAAAGGAAGATCCATTCAGTCATATATGGAATGAGAAATTGAAAGAAAGAGTAAATCCATGGTAATAAAAAAACTTATGCATTTGTAAATTTCAAGCTCTCAAAATCAGCACAGTTCAATATCTGGATCTTGCCATGAGTCTCTGCCTTGACAGCTTAGGTTATGCACAACCACAAGTTCTAGTAAAAGAGCACAGTCCAGTGTGACTGGAGCACTTCCAACGTGGGGAGAATACAGGTTGTGGCCATAATATATTATTATGATATAATATTAAGGATTTTGAACTTTTTTCCATGGACAATGGAAAATCACTGATGGCTTTGACATAATCAATTCTTTTTTAGGAAAAAAAAAATATTTGGAAAGATAAATGAAATAGTGTTATGAAGAAGCAATAGGAAGGGAAAGACTAGAGGCCTCAAGATAGCAGTTTGAAGGTAATCATTGCATCCATAGAAGAGATAATAAGAATCTGAACTAGGACTATAAGGAGAACTTGGATTTGAGAGACACTTCAGAGGAAGGAAGGGCTTTGAGGCTGGCTCCTGGCCAGGAAAAAAAAAAAAAAAAAGAGGAATGAGTCTAAGTTCTTGTTTAACAGGGATGCCTGGCACCAGGCAGAACAGTTAGTGGTACTCCATAAACATGTGATGGATGGAATTAAATTTTTTATAACCTGATAAAAAAAGTTAACTTAGATTGGTGAGCAAGCAGTGAATTACTAAACATCAATATGTCAAAAATAACCACACCCTTGAAACCAAAGTGAAAGATTAAATACTGATTGACAGCAATACCACAGAATTATTTTTAAGAAAAAGTGAAAGATTAAATGAAAGATTACTGATTGACAGCAATACCACAGAATTATTTTTAAGAGGAAGAATTAAGTCATAAAATCGGAATTTTCCCAACGCATATTCCACAGAACCTTAGTCCCAAAATATATGCCATCTAAAACAGTTCCAAGGCCAAACACATTTGGAAAATTGTGCACAGCCTTAAATATTTACTATAAACACTACTATATAATATATACTGAAAAGTTCCATAATAAAAAGAATTAACGTTAATGAAGACAGAGCTTCCAAAACTTTTGACCATGGGACATTATCAAATTTTCATCAACAGACTGTTGAACCTCGGAGGGAAGACAGGGGAGGGTGGGTGGGAAGAGATCAACCAATGAACTTGTATGCATGTATGCATAACCCATGGCCACAGACAATGGGGTGGTGAGGGCCTGTGGGGGGGAGGGCGGGGGAGCTGGCTAAGAGGTTAATGGGGGGAAAAGAAGGACCTATGTAATACTTTCAACAATAAAGATTTTAAAAAGAAAATGTTAACCAGGAAAAAAAATTTTTTCTAGAGACCTGGTGTTCTCAAAGACGCACTTCGAAACATTTTTCTTCCATTATTCTTCGCAAAAAGTTAAGTAGAAACAGTTTCAGTGGAATCACAAGAAAGTATTATAAGTTATAGAAATGCAAACATACAAACCTTCAGGTGCAGTTTTTGAAGAATTCGGGTGAGCAATCGTGGAAATCTTCCTATATCTATTGCATTTATCAGCGACACTGCTTTTTTCATGCTAAATAAATTAGTAAAACAAAGTTTTTAAGTGAGCTTTCCAAGTGGAATTGTACTGGTTATAAGTACAGTTGTCCATAACTGCAGGTGTAAGTTTCCATTTCAACAACTTTAATGGCTATAAGGTAAGTCTGAGTGAAACAAAGAAAAATAGATGATGGCCAGCAAAGGAGGCAGGGCATTACCTAATGCCCCCCCCCCCCCACACACACACCCATTCAACTATTGTTGAAAGGGTCTATTTGGCAAATTTTCTCCTTCTTTGGGGCAAGGCAAACTACGAGGAAAGTTTGCACTCTGTGGAGGATGGCATTACTGTAGCAGTACAGTATCCACTTAACCCAAAATGCAAATGCAACATGAAAAGAGTGGGAGGAGGGAAGTGGCTAGTACACCATAAATATGAAGAATAGAATGCTGTATGGCAGATCATTTTTTTAAAAAAATACTATACAAAAATCATTTGGGGTCACTAAGCACACGGTTTTAAAACCCTGCTGCAACAGTAATCGAGAACTTTACGTTATGTGACGAGCACAGTTCTCTCGCACCGTGTCACTGCGGGTCACTGATGTGGCGTCTGGTTACCCAGACATCGGTGGGAGGCAAGTTTCTGGCTGTCAGAACTCAAGGACTCCGGGCAGAAGGAAAAGCTTTGACATGGCAACGGTGTTCTTCGACATTCCTGCCCAATTCGGGCGCAAAGGGTTATGTTCCGCCTTCAGTGACTTGCCCATCTATTTCCGCACTTTCCCTCACCCACACACCCCCACTTCACTGGGACTCGATGACTTTTCCTGACATGAAGTCATTTTCCCCCAAATCTATCTCCACCGCGGACAGCCGAACTTACCAACCATAAACAGAAATTAACTAAACGGGAACAGAATGAAAACAAAAGCCATGTTACCAAATCCTGACCGCACCATACTAGCAGCCCCCACCCCGGCCTGGGTCTATGCCCGCGGGAGGGGGAGGTGCTGACACGGGCCAGGGCTGC